TTTACATCTTAGTAACTTTATATAATAATGAAGTATACACATGGAAGACAAGAAAAAGTATTTACCTGATTCGCCTCTTCTTTTTCTTTCTTTTTTTTTTTTATCAGCTGCTGCTGATACTTGTAGATAACACTTAATCTACTTCTTTATACTAATGGTAGTGTTGCACTAAATAATTTTTTGTTTAATTGAATAATGCACCAAAGAACACAATAACACATGCAAAAAGCAGACAATATCCCATAGCTATCACCTTTTCTAACTTTCTAACTATGCGACAAGAGCTGTTAAGACTTCATCTAAGCTCCTTGATGTGTTTCCTGAAGGAATCAAGTTTGAACTGAAAGCTAAATTGACAAATCTCTTTATAGAAAACAACGTAAGATAATAGATAATTTGATAGATGAAAACGTTGGCTCTTTAATGGTTATAAATACTACTAGCATTGAATGTCAGAAAGAACTATTAGTAATTTCTGAAAGAGAGGATGTGACAGGTGGGTGTGACAAGAGGGTACTTGTTGTCTATTTCATAATTCTGTAACCAAATAAGATTGAAAACACTGTTAATTAGGCTTTCCCTGAGCATTGAGAGTATTATATTGAGGGGTGGTAAATAAATTAGTGAAGAGGGTATGCCTACAGAGCAAAATGTCACAATTCTCATACTAGGGGAAATTCCAGTTTTTTTTTTATATAGCCTTAGAAAAAAAAAGAATTTAAAACTTGTATATCATTAAAATATGGATTATTAGCCATGTTTTTATGCTATATTTATTGATGTACCATGAAAAGATAGTAGTTTGAATGTAACTCGCTAAAACCTCAGGATATGCACAGAAAAAGATGCTTGTTGAAAGAGGTTTAATGCCATTTAAAAGATCAAGAGTAACATCTTGGAGGATTCATATACAGACTATAATATATTTCTATAAACTTAAAACAAACAGAATACCTTTTAGCTTACCTTACCATTCTTTCAGCAATCATATTACCAGTATTATACAGAATTAGTACACTCTTTTAAATAGTGATGCATCTTCTACCAACATTTTTACTAACCCTCCCCTTTTTTTTCTTTCAAACATGACAGGAATTTAAAACTATTAGGTATACTCAACTGACACGGGTCTGTTACCTGCTACAAAACTGTCAGTGCAGTATATGTCTTATACGTAAGAATATGGATTACACAATAACTTTATATACACAAAATTACATTTGACCATGTTAAGGGTAACTTTATTTGTATATCACGTGTGTCATGTGTTGTAACCACTACATTAAATGGTAGTCTTCAAACATTAAAGAAATATCAAGACAGTTAGGGGATAGGACTTGCAAACATTTGTGATGGTAATAAAGACTGCCTTGTACCAAGACGCTTCATCTCGCCTATCCACAACAGTGCCGAAGATACGGCAGTCTTAGTTCTAACTCGTATCTCACAAGACAGGTTACAAAACAGAAGATCAGAACATCATTTTATTTTTAGTTGAAGTACTGAATTTTTTCACACCCTGAAAGGTAAATTTTCTCTTGAATAACTTCTTACTCTGTTATACATTAATTTGCAATGGTTGTGTATGATCATTTTATATTTTTTTGTTTCTTAATGATGTGTAAGTTAGTTACATATATTTATGTATGTGTGTGTATATATATATGTAAATTAGTAAAAAATTAACAAAATTACTTAATATCATATGTAAGTCGGCAGAAGTTGTCAGTAACCACAAAACAATTAAGTGAAAATATCAAATCTTAAAATGTAATTTAAGTATGAGCAAAGACAAAACATAGAGAAATAAAAATAAATGTTAAAAAACCTATAAGTGGTGTGTAACTGCACATTCAAAAAGTGTCCAAGATAGCCTGTCTCTTCAGTTACGTGCCAACATAAGTAAGAATCTGTCATTGTTCATTTGCATCTTCTTGCTTAAACTCTTATGGGCATTAGTGTTGGTATTTATTCTTGGGTAAGGCTTGTTCTAAGTGTTTTGTAGAGATTGATAAAACTGAAGTTTCCTTCACACTTTGTAGTAGTAGGCACAATAACAAGCATTATTTTAACACATTTTATTGAGGTATTTTGAAATCTAAACTAGAAATCAGAAAATTGCATAATATTTTCAAGATTTTGATAAAGAAAAAACAATACTGTATAAAGTTAACTTGCTGTTTTCAAGTTCTTAGATTTCTGAGGCTTTGTAATTATGAAATCAGAACAAACATTATGCTCAATGTTATGGTGCATGTCTTTTACAAGCCATTGAAGAATGATTATAATTATGCTTGTTTTAAGACATTAGTATTAGGCCTATTACATTGTTAAACTACATTATTTATCTAGTCTTGAAGAGTGTTTGGTAAAAGTATTCCAACCACACACATATGATAATTATAATTATGATTCATTGCATATCTTTCATTATCAATAAAATGAATAAGTCTTGAAATCAAAAATTGCAAAATGGTTTAGTGGACTCTCACTAAAGACAGAGAACCTGTAAAATAAAATGAAAAATAGTGCCTTAGTTTAAACGCTACATCAAAATGTATAAATTACAAGTAAGGTCACCTAGCTATTCCACAGAGAAAAGCAGTTCAGTCAGTGAGAAAATTCTGGAATTAGATAGTTAGATTACAAATCTGTTTTTCTAGATACATAGTTGTCAACTCCTCCATCTTCTTGGAATCCCATACCTTGTGCAGAATTTATTTGAGCAAGCTGTTTTCATAAACACAGCCTGCATTTTCATTGTGTACAGCTACGTGTGTAGCTTGGGTTCAGTGTAGAGGTGCTTGAGATTCAAAACATCAATATTAACTGTATTAAAAAAAGCAATGGAAAGACCAGCTACATTTTGTAACCTCTGTGACAATGCATTAACTCGGATACTTCCACAGCTCCAGTTAATTCTGTACTTCAGTCGTAAACAATCATCCCTCTGAAACACCTTGAAGATTTGTGAAGAGGGGAAAAATAGGGTTAACCTCCCTCTTATATATTCTTCATCTTCCATTTAATAATAAACATTGATTAGAAAATCAAGAGTTAATTTTTTAAGAAGTGACTTTCACTGTGGCTAATGAGAATAATCTTCGATGCTTTCATGCTCCTTTTCTTGACATTTTGAACTTTCTTTTACTGTGTTAAATGAAAATATAACAGAATTTATTGTACCATTTTGTTTCTCCCACTTTAGACAGGTATGCTGTTAATCCAATCCAAAAAATATTTCACTTTTAAGTAAATATCACAGTTGAGATTAAGATTATACTCTGCTTAGTCATACCTTTAAAGACAGACTGTAATCACTTCTCCAGTCTTGGAAAATAACTTTTTTTTAGATATAAAAAGACCAAACATTTTGAGTCTAGTATTTGTTCTTAATATACTTTTGTAACATTAGTTGGCAAACATATATATCTACTTTATGCATCAAACAACAATTATTTAGTTCCTTTATTTGCTTACATTTAAAATAGAAGGTGAACAGATAAGTGGTCAGGCGTATGAATTTTATAACTGTTTTTTTTTTCAACATATTCCGTTTTCTTAAAAACATAATGGGGAGATTGAGCTTCATTTATATTAGACAGGTGATAAGAAAACTATCCTTTTTGGGTACTCAGAAACTCAAAACTGCAGTTAAAGAACTCCAGAGAGATCATACAAGAAAAATAGTTGTTATTAATGAAAATATTGTTAAATTCTCAAAAATTCAACATCCACATTTTATGAAGCTGTATATTTTGGAATAAAATGAGGAAAGTGTGTATGTGAATCTTTACAGTAGGAAAGTTACACACTGTTTAGTGACCAACATCACAGATTTCATGGTCTGTAGATGTTTTTGGATAAAGGAACTGTTGTATGCCTTGCATGCAATAAAGACAATTTACTACAGAAGTTGATGACTGGAAATGAATAACTAATATGCAGAAGTTTGTTATTAAAAGCATGTTACACAGTTAAATCTTTACATATATTTGGAGTAATTAGTGAGTCACTGGTTTGTGACAGTAATGAACCATTTGAATTTTAAAAATCAACTTGAATTTTGAAAAACTTTATACATTGGCAACAGAAAGCTGAGTAAAATTGAAAGGTCATGAATCTCAGTTTCAGAGGGACTGTAATTTTTGAGTATTCTGGTAAACTGTAGTACATGGGTCAGTCATGTACTACATATTTTATTTATAGAAATGTTCATTATTTACAATATATAAAATTAAAACTGTGCATGTATGACACTTTTTTATGGTGTTAATGCCTTTTACAAGCTGGGAGAGCATGATTATAACTCATTGCACTTGTCATAAGACATTAGTATTAGACCTATTATATTTTTAAACATACATTCCTTATCTATTCCCTTAATGATTTTCAAGAATTAAAAGAGTGTATAGAAATAATTTTAGCCCCACTGTGTTTGTCATATCCATAGCTTAAATAAAGTGTTCTGACTATTATTGTGTTTGTTGTGTTTCAGCTGCCCTTGTGAGCTTTGGAATTAGTGAAACACAGCGTCAGCAATGGATATGACAAATATAGTGTGATTGGAATACTATTATTATAATACGCTCTTCTAATATTTGAAAATCCCTAAGGGGCTAGATTAGAATGTATGTCTAAAGATATGATAGGTCTAATACTAATTAATATCTTAGGACAAGTATATTTTTCTGGGCACAGGGATGTTTAAGATATTGAATATATTACAAAGTAAAGCATTAACATATTTATGATAGAAATAAAAGCTTTTAAAGTTTATTAGTTGAATTTACCTATATATTTCTGAGTAATAAGTACTATCCTGTTTTATTTTTGAACATTTTGGTTAAAGCTTTAGTTTTATGAAAAGTCCACATCCCACCCCTATTACAAGCATTCAAACACTAAATATCTGTGTAGAATTTCATAGCTTTGTTATTAATTATTTCTTATATTTTCAAACTGTATCTAGTCCTTATTATCTTAATATTATCCACTAGATGTTTCAAGTTCTGGAAGAAAGAGAAGATCTATTTCACCTGATGGCTGTCAAGCAACAGACAATATCCATCCATCTTATCATGGATGGCGTGAAGAAAGGAATAGAAATGAAGCTATAAGAGAAGGCAGGACTGACAGAGTTAAATTAGCTTTTCCTAATACCAAACAGACAGCTCAAAATGTAAACAAAACATCACCTTGCTCTCCTGATGACCAGGTAACATAATACATGTACAAAGCTTTTCTTATAGAATAATTGTCATGTTTCTAGAAATTCACTTAAACACTTTCTGTAACAAAGACTATATTGTGCTACATTTCCACGAAATAAAAACAAACGAAGAGATACATGCAGAAAATGTTGAAGTTATATTGTTAATTATTTGATATTTTTGATAATTTATTTATGAAGTATATATTACATAAAATAAAAAGTTTTATCTTGTAACTGAAGTAGATAAGTGTGGTATTTGTGGGTACGTTATTGAATATTATAGAAACCAATTGCAGCTAAACATACTGCACACACCTATTAACTATCTTGCTATGGCCATCTTTTACTGCACATATCACAAGGTTTTAGTGAGTTACATTCAAAATTAGATTAAACAACTTTATTATCGTGGTATACGAATAACCTTGGCATAAAAACATAGCTAATAATAAAAATTTTAGTATTATACAAGTTTTAAGTTCTTAATTTTATAAGGCAATATTTTAAAAATATCCTGAATTTCCACTAGTATAAGAATTATGACATTTGCTCTCAAAGCATCCCCTCTTCTGTAATTTATTTACTACCCCTCTGAGAAGTACGAAATTTAATGTAAATTACTAATTATAATATTTTCATTGCTCAGACAAAGTTTAATTTTCATAGCCTTTAATCTATTTGGTAATGGAGCCATGAAATAGACAACCAAACGCCTCTTACACGCCCATTTGTCACATCCTCTCTTCCAAAATTTTCCAGTAGTTCTCTCTGATGTTAAATACTATACTATTCACAACCAATAGAAAGCCAAGATTTTCATTTATTAATTGACATAGTATATTACATTATTTGCTGTACAGAGGATTGTCAGTTTTGCTCCCATTTCTATCTATTCCCATGGGAAACGCATTGAGCTTACCTGAATTTCGAACTGCTCTTGCTGCATCGTTAGAAAGCCAGAAAAATTGTAATAGTTATGGGACATTGTCTGCTTTTTTGTCCAGTATTATTCTGTTATTTGGTGCATTACTTAATTAAATAAAAACTTATTTAGTGCAGTACTACCATTAGTGTAAAAAAGTAGGGTTAAGTTTCATCAATAGTCAACAGGGAAAAAAAAAGACGACTCAAGTTAGTGCTATATTTCTTGTTTTTCATATGTATTCTTTATTTATTATTATAAAAATGACTAAAATGTAAAAATTAGAAACTTTTTAGGTTTGATAAGTTAAAATGAATAATGATATTTTTTCACACAGTACTTCTCGAGCAACTCATGGGTAGGCTGTGCATTGTTTAATGGTGGGAATATTAGTTACACATGGTTCAAAGAGCAATAAAATTTAAATTTAAACAGATGCTTACTGTTAGGAACTTAAAGCTATTTAGGATAAACAAATGTAGTTTCATATTACAGTTTGAAGTCATTCTAGAAAGAAGAAATGGTAATTTAGATTTATGTAGATATATTTTCATAGTTACAATGTCTGTCAAATTGACCAACCTTGTATAGAGTTAGGGTAGAGAAAATAACATATAAAGTATAAAGTTTTACTGAAAAAAAAAACGTTTCAACTTTATTTAGGATGTTTGAGAGATCATGCAAATAAAACTTGAGATTTTTCAGATGAAGAAAAGCATTTTTAATATTAACGTGAATATCACTTTGTATGGGGAGTAGTCAACACTTTGACTCCATACATTCATGGAGATATTTTTAGTGAAAATACTTCATCAAAAATTCTGATTTTATTGTCTACTTAAGACTTAATGATTACTGAAAGCTGTGAAATTTTGTAAAAATGCACAAAACATATCAGAAGCTATTGTATGGAACTCTAATTTGGGGTAATTTTCTAGGTCAATCAAACAAGCTTGTAACAAGAGAGTTAATATATGTATCATTATGAAACTCTCCTGTTCATAGTAACTACAGCATACTTTCAACATTGAGCTACCAAAAATTCTGTTTTCATCACCTTACAGCATGTTTATGGAAAAACTCAATAATGATTTTCCTGTTCAAAATTGGGCCACTTCATTTACTCAAACTGCACAGTTTCCCAACACTTCTAAGTAATCAAGATGCAAGCAGCCAATTCACTATCAAAATAAAGTTGGATGTTATCGTGCATTATATCACACTTAAAAATCACATATTCACCCATTAGATATATACCAGTGATAAATACATTGACAAGGTTTCTTAGAAATAGAAACATTTTTTACACTTAAAATGTACATTGGTTCTCTGAACCATTTACTTCATTTGCACTGCTTATTATAATGAAACAACAATAAAATTCAATATTATTTTCACGTATTTGGATTTCCTACTATTTCTATAGGAATGAAACCTATTTAAACTTCAAGAGCTTGGGAAATACATGTTCGATGTTTCTTGTATCAAAATGCCTAAAAATTCTGAATTTTGTCGTGTTTCTTATTAAAATGAATTATATTATCGTAAACTAATGGGGAGAGCAGAAACGTGAATCTTTTGAAGGTAAAAGATAAATTCGGTATTCAAATACTGATAGTGTAAAGGATATAACGAGCATGAAAGCAGATAAATATATTTGTAGTTGGGGTAAGGGAAGCTAGCTTATATATGCCAAATGTCTAAATTACACATTAGACTTCCCTAATAAGATAGGATGTAATGAGTATAAAAACAGTTAAATAACTTGGTAATTGTGGTAATGAAAGCTATATAAAATGTGGTAAGCATCTAGACTATATGTAAACACCACTCTAGTAATTTAGTGGATGTAACCAGCATAAAATCAGTTAAATAACTTGGTAATTGTAGTAATGAAAGCTATATAAAATGTGGTAAGCATCTAGAGTGTATGTAAACACCACTCTAGTAATTTAGTGGATGTAACCAGCATAAAATAGTTAAATAACTTGGTAATTGTGGTAATGAAAGCTATATAAAATGTGGTAAGCATCTAGACTATATGTAAACACCTCTAGTAATTTAGTGGATGTAACCAGCATAAAATCAGATACCTTGGCACTTGGGAGATGCAGTGCAGAAAACTAGTTGTAATACGAATATACATCAGATCACTCTGATAATGTAAAGAGCTCCTTGTATCTATGATGACTAAAATATGCAACCCAACAGGAACCATAAAGAAGGAAACATTTGACATCAATAAAACATAAGAGCAATATTGAAATAAAAATAAATGGTAAAAAAACAACCTATAACCACTTAGTTACCTATATCTACATAATATTTCTTTTAGAATATGCAGAAAGCATAAGACCAATGCAGTCTCCTGAGGCTTCAAATGAGACATATGAAAACTCTATTTATCAAAATGGAAAAATGTACTGCAATCCATAGGCAGTTAAAGTGAGGATCCATTATTACTCTTATTACACAAGACTGCAACATTGACAATTCATTTATTGTAAGCATAGGAAATCGAAGGATGCAGTTTATTATCATAGTGGTAGAAGTATTGCAGTTAAACGAAAATTAAGAAATATACAAAATGTATTAAAACAAGTAAAGATGGCTCGTATGGTCAGTAAAAGGAACAGATAAAAGGTTAAAGCACAGATCAAACTTCAACAGAAAGTTTTGGTCAGGATAGAAACAAATTGCTCTCCTCGGAAGTAAAGAATCTTCTGAATGTTCTAAAACTGTTTCCTGATATACAATTATACTGTAACTGACAAGTCAGAAAAAATAACTGGAAAGCAGAAATATTTCTGCTTCATGTGACATTTGCAAGGTAGTCTTTTATACACAAGATCACACAAGACACAATATAACTATTACATGAAATAATAACTTTCTTGAATTGACAGCCTACAAAAAGTAACACGTCAGGCTTAATTTGACGCTTGATCTCAACCAGATTTAATTTCAATAATGATTTGGAAAAGCTAAAAAATTTATTCCTAAAATATATATTTTATGGGGGAGAGAGAGATGTAGTATTACCATTTTCCATCTTCAAACCATCAAATATAGTTAAGAAATGCCAATACGGTACTCCAAAAGTAACACACAGATAAAACGAGTGTCAAGACTTTGACATCCTTCTGATAAAAGAGCTCCCAATAGCTAGCACAACCTGACTATCACTACTAGAAAAATAACTACAAGTTTATATAGCATAAAAACATAATATCTTGACTATACTTTGTGTTTGAAGTTATATTCTTTGAGAACAATGACTGATTTATTTATTTTTCTCAGGAATTTTCCATGGTTCCTGGACGACTTCCTGGTGATCAGATTGGTATGTGGTTGCATTTAAAATTTAAATAAAATTATTTTGTGTTTATTTATTGTGTAAATATGTTAACCAGGATTTTTCATTATTAACTTCAAAATATATTACTTAAATATTGAGATATTAGTAAGAATATGTTTTTCATTCTTTTTATCTGCAGAAAATGGTAATTTTGGAGAACCACCTAGTAGAAGATTTAGTGGCCCTAGAAGGTATGTTGGAATGTTAAGTTACCAATATTTTTAAAAATCAAAGTCATTTGTAGTGAGAAATATTATGTAGCTCTTGTTTGTAAATACAGGTACTGTACTATGTAATTACAGTGAAACCTTTAAAACATATAAAAACCTGTTTAAATTCATATCTTTCCTTTAATTTTGCTCAAAATTGGCTAAATAAACACTTTAAAACTATATAAATGTGAAATAGACTTATATTTTCAACCAACATCATAAGAGCAAAATTTTCAATATTCTATTCATCTGTAAAAATAAAATATTTTCTAGATTCTGATGTGTAGAAAATAATTAAGACATCATTTTCAGATCTTACATGATAAAGTGTTTGTTATCACACACAAAGTACTTCATGAGTATTTTGCTAATGGGTAAAAAATTTACATTTATTATTGTTCGACTAGATATATATATATATATATATATATATATATATTACTTATATAGAACTAAATTATTTTTATTTGTAGAAAATACAATTTAGTCTATATTTTAGAAAAAGGAACCTTTAACCATATCACCCCCAGGTACCCTTTACTGTGCATGACATGAGGTTTTAGTGTCTTACATTCAAAATTTTATTAAATTAACTTATGTTATACCAATTAGAATAGCATAAAATCTTAGCTAATAATCAATATTTTAATAGTATACAAGTTTTAAATTCTTAATTCTACAAGGCAATATTTAACAAAATCCTGAATTTTCACTAGTGTGACCCACATGACACATTTTCTCTTAGCATGTCATCATCCATATTTTATTCACCTCCCCTCGAAAAAGTACAAAATTAAAAGTAATTACTCTCTATAAAATCATTATTGCTCAGACATACCATAATTTTTTAGCCTTCAAATTTGTTTGGTTACAGAGCTATCAGATACAAAATCAGACCCCTCCTACCAAACCCATTTGTCACATCCTCTTTCAGGATTTGTTAATAGCTCTCTTACATTTCATTATATATTATCTGTAACCAATAGAAAGTCAAGGTTTTCATCTATCAAATGATGTATAACATTATGTTCTGAACATTTAGATGTCAATTTCACTTAAGAGTACCAACATCTTTCCCGTGAGAAAGTTAGTGACTAACTTGGATGAATTTGTAACGGCTCTTGTTGCATAGTTAGTTGGCCAGAATATTTTTGAGAGGCAAGTGAATTTGTCTACTATTTGCATCTTATTAGTCTATGTTCTTTGGTGCATTATTTAATTAAGTAAAAATTATTTAGTACATTACTACCCTTAGTATAAAAAGTAGGGTTAACTTCCATTGACAATCAACAGCAAGAGACGAGAAGATTGGTTAAGTACTTTATTTCTTGTTTTTCCTGTTTATATTTATAAAATAATAAGTAATAAAATGCCAAAATAGGGATCTCTTTAGGTTAGATTAGGTAAAATACACAATAATAATAATAATATAGTAAAAATATTTCATGAGGCACACACACACACACACACACACAAGCAGCTCAGTGTAGCTCGTGAGTAATGTAATTTAATAGTGTAATGTGAACTGCACGTTTCCCAAGTGATTTCCAATTTATAATGGTGTAAACAGTAGTTGAGCATGGTTCAAGGGGCACTAAAACAATAAAATTAAATTATAAATAGTAGTATAATGTTACATGTTTTAAGCTACTTAGGATAAATGAATGTAGTTTCATGTTACAATTTGAAGTCATTCTAGAAAGAAACAAAGGGTGATTTAGATTTTGTCTTTTTGGTGGTTATGAGATTGGTCAAATTGACAAACCTTGTATAGAGTTAGGGTAGAGATAACATCAAAAAATATAAAGTTTTAGTGAAAATAAACATTTGAAATGTATGTAGAAGGTTTTAGAGGTTACACAAATAAAATCTGAGATTTTTGAGATGAAGAAAAGTATTTTTAATCTTAACATGAAAATCACTTGGAACACGGACTATTCAAAACAAATACTTGATATATTCATGGAAAAATGGTTTTTTAGTTTATTTAAAATACTTCACAAAAAATATTTTTTATATGTAGATGATTTTTGTATGTGAAAGACTTATAATATTAACTGAAAGACTGCCAAATCTTGTGAAGATATACACACTATATTAAAAGTTAGTAGTGACAAATCTATAAAGACTTTATACGAGTACAGAGAGGTCATGTAGTCAGT